TTCCGAAGTTCAAGCAGGGTGGCACGACGCGATCGACGAAGCATTATCGGCAGCCTACAGGAAGACTACAACATCATCATTGCATCAATTGACTCATTACGGTTATGTAATTGCTCCGCCTGTAGTCTACGTACCTACGTGTGAGGATTTAGACTCGTCAAACATGTCACGATAGTCTTAAGGTTTCGCGTCGCCCGAGCATGAATCGGACCTGATATTCGTCTCCGGCCTATCAACATTTCAATGTGTAAGACTTTGTCTATCGCTGTCTTTACTGGTTTCGCTTCGAAGCGACGATTGTGCGCCATTAACGGCACCCATCACCTAAATAATTGTATGCGTGGAAGGTTCAGGTCTGTGTTTTCGAGGATGTGGGCCTTCCGCACAGTAAACCGACTCTATCCCAAGTGGGCGATATCGACAAAAAAAGCAGGGCAGCTTCCTTTACCCACCCACCGTAAGCCGTGGATGTCCCAGAAGTGGGAGGATATGCAAAAGATTCGCTCACCAGAAAGGCGAAAGTGTGTGGAGTCTACCTTGCTTGTTCTCAGAGGGTATAGTCTATGTCTCGCTATTGGTTTCTTGTATTTCTCGCACGTTTTCTCTTGTTGGGGCGGGTGCTCCCGCAGGTTCTCATGGCGCAGGAGTCGGAAGCGAACGAATCATTCGGGCAGCTGGAGATGCTTCAGAGGACACACGACAAGCTTCGCTCTAGAGCAAACAGGCTCGAGGCCGTCCACGACAGTCTTTTCAACAAGCTCGAGGTTGTCAAGAAGACTCTCTTGGTGAGTTGAAGACAAACATAACATAGCCAAAGTCTCCAGTACCCGTCGGCCAGGCGGCGTGAACCATGTGCTCGGCTTGTCTCTGGAAGAGGCAATGCCAACGAGACTATTCCCAACACCAAAACGAAACGTACGGCGCACATGGTTTCTATATGAAACTACTGTGTAGTGGTCTATTGTAGAACTGCTTCAACAACTGAACACCCCCCGCCATTTACGTGCATTCCGTGGTCTGCATCTGGGTGGGGCAGGTGAAAAAAGTGGGAACGGAGCCGGAACGACAGCTGGCTAGACTCCAGGCAGAGCTCCGAGCCACCGACAAGCGGCATCAGGACGCGATGATCACGAAGGAAACGACGGAATTCATCGTGAAACGGATAACCAAGGTATGTGGCTAAGATGAGCAATCGTGGTTTCTTTAGGTGTGGGTCTCGTTTGTGTCACGCTTCGGGATAGGATTCACCCGTTTTTGCAAACGCTATCACGCTGCCTGCCACAAGCGAGAAGAACAACAACCCCCCTCTCGGCTTGCAAGTGCGGAGAACACGAGGTGGTAAGACGTGAAGGGGGAGAGCGGCGGGTCCGTGACATCGACTCTTCCCTTTCTCCCTGATCCGTAGGAAGTGGTTGACGTCAAGCAAGCCGTGAGGACAACCCAGGCAAAACTGACGGCGACGCTAAGTGAGGCGGCGTCGAGCGAGTCTCACCTGCAGCAGAGCCGGCAGGAGCTTAAAACCGAGGAGGAAAGACTGGAAAAACTCAGAAAGAAGGTAGTGAGAATGTTTTAAAGTCAGAAAGGAGGATTTTCTATAAAGTACCACACTATAAATACGCAGCAACAACAGGCGGCAACATGATTTGGTGCGTGCGGAACAGATGCATAGGCCACCGCACGAATTTCGTCTTTCGCTTTAGATTTGACTGCTTTCTTCGTAATCCACCCCCTCTCCGGCCTCTCAACGCTCCGTCTTCGACGCACACAGTGCTGGAGGCTTAGAACTGACAAATACGAAATCTTTCATCTGCGCATGGCGCAGTCACATGCTTTGATACAAACGTGCCTCGTTGAACGTACGCACGATTCAAGTTTTGGCGTCAGTAGCGCTGAGAGCAAAACGTTCAGGGTTCCATGGTCGCGAGAAGTCGTCCACGGTAGGGAACGGGAAAAAAAAACAAGCGGATATCATTTTTCGAGACTTGACTTGCTGTGCATCCCTTGGTTGTGGTGTGTCCCTAACGTGTCGCAACCAGGTCAACCAAAGGATGATGCTGCAGAGTGAAAGCCTCGCGGGGCTACAGCAGGTGATGGAGGAGAGAAGCGTGCAGCTCTTTAACCAGGAGGAGCGAATCCACCAGCGAGATGACCTGTTGACCAAGGTATTTAGTTTCGGAAGGCATGTGGGAAAGAAAAAAAATGATGGCTTCTTGAACTCCAGCATCTCACGATGTCGGGGAGCCCCAACAGGTTTGGGGTGGTTTGCGATACCGTGGGATTCGGAACGCCTGGCAGGGAGGCAGCTGTCATTTCGTGGCACTCACGCATAATCTTCTGGGTCGGAGCAGGTTTCCAGGAAACAGACTCGCCACTGGAAGAACGCGCAAATAGCTGCAGTCTGAGTGGCTACAACCACCTCGTTTTTCGAAACGGTTCCGTGAGAACGAGTAGCCCACCACCTTTGGCCTTGTTGCTTTCGCGTGCAATCCCGCGCGGCATCCTTGCCGGCGCTGCATTTCTGTTGGGTCGAGAGTAGATACATTGCAAAATAAACCGCCGAATTGTTGTGTGTCCGGGATCTCCCCCTCCGCGGGGATTGAGCATCGCACACAACCACACACGGTCAATCGACTTTCGGACTCCCCTTCACCCTGATCAGTAGTGAACCCCACTCTCCCCTTCACACGATGCTGTGGCAGCGGTGTCCCTTCAACCGGGAAAGTGACCCATCCAACGTGTATCCCGCTGTTTGATGGTTGATAGTTCAACGGCTGCGGTAAGCAATGTATTATTCCGTGGCTACCCGCTCGGGTTTCTCAACACTTAGACACCTCAACACGACGACAACAGCAACGGAACCCATGCCGTTCCGCTCTCACGCCCCCCTGATGCCTTCAGTCCGGTGGAGCCATGCGGTCAGACGAGGAGGAGAGACTGGCGCGCACCATCGTCGTGCGAAACGTCTACAGCAGTATCCTTCAGAAGAAGGTGAAAAAATCCATGTCGAACCACTAGACCACAAAGCTCCCACACCTGAGGTAAACGTGTCACATCTGCACTGACTTGAAACGTGGGGTTGAAAACTGCATCTAGCGCACAAGTTGGCGATAATACCTCGTACGCTAGATGTGATTTCCGGACGGAATGGGGATGAGCGTGAGCTCGGTGCCTCCGCGAGAAATGTGATGCGTCGAAACCATCACTTCTGTTGCTGCTGACCCGAACACGAATATTCCTGGTTTTCGTCCAAGCAAGGTGGAGGACGAGCAGAGACACCTGGGCGCGCTGGAGGACTCTTTCCAGCAGATCAAAAACACCACGGGGCTGGCCGGTGTTGACGACATAATAGAAAGGTAGGACTGAATGATTAAAAAAACGAAGATTTTTTGGGAGTGACAAGACGACCATGGGGTTTAATATTTCAAACACGAAAACAGCTTCGTCAAAGATTCCCTGCAACTTGTAGGCGAAATTCCTGACGATTTTCGACCAAACAATTAGAAGAACGTGAAAACACGCAAAACTATGACCGACCACCATGGACAAATCATGCGCGCCCTTGTTCCACGCACACACGAAAAAAAAGCAACAGCGCGTGACATACTGTTGCACGTGGCAGGGAGACAATGACCTTGAAAGAAGGTATATTTTTCCGTCTTGGGGCACGGGAGGAGGGCATCCGCTAGCTCCAGATGCAAGATATATGTCGGCAAGAACAAATACCCCAATCTACGAAGGACACCAAGTCGCCCTGTATATCTATGTCCGCTTCATTTTGGTACCTCTCGTGTATGGACAGGTATCAGATGCGCGCAGGAAAGAACCAGCAGCTGCACTTGATGGCGGAGGAGATCCGTCAGCGCATGGAGTCGCTCAGGAAGGAGAACCACCAGCAGCGACAATGGCGGGATGTGAGAAAAGGCCTGAACTGGACGACGCTCTTTTGCTACCCAAGAGCTAGATCATGGCAGCACAATAACAAGCAAGCAGCATTATACGACGAGCATGTCGTGGACACGTAGGGCATCGACTTTCACAAGAAGGCGGTCCTCCCTCGGACTACGGAACCACCACAGGAAGTTCAACGATTGCATGGAACTGACAAAAAAACAGCCAAAATCTACCAGACACTATTACAATAATTTTGAAAAGCAATCACGTCCCCAGCAGGATGATTTCAACGCTAAGGTACAAACAAAATCTTGCAAACTGAAGCACGAGCAAACCTCTCGTTAGACAACAAGCATCAGTGACGCCCACCCCCCTTCCGTCCGCAAACCCACTTCTGCATTTTTCAACGCCGGACTCGCTCCATTTTGGTGGCGAATATCGTGCAAAATCACCGTCGCTTTAAGGATCTACACCGCAGACAGGAGGCCACTTCCGGAAATCGAGACATGTATCAGGAAGTAGATCTGATCGACATCGCCCTTGGGTCCGCTCGGAAGCAGTGCGACGACGCAAAGGAGAGAGCCAACAGGCTCAGCGTCACCGTTGACCGCCTCAGGGACGCTCTTTCTCGTTTCATGAGCAAGGTGGGTTGTCAGTGCGGCAGCAGGAATTTCGTCACCTTCTCGTCTTTTTTTGCGGGTTGTGGAGGCGAACTCCGAATGGTTCGTACCGTTCACCATACCCTATCCTTTTCCCTATCCTTTTTTAAATATGTGCAACATGATTGTAATATACTGCTGGGAGGTAACTTCGCTCCAACAGTTTTTCTTTGGCTGTAGGCAGGTATCCGCACGCCCAGCAGTCTGTGATACAACGATCCGGAAGGAGGCCAATACCTACGTTGAGAGCACCATGCCTCTCCCGAGCTGTGCCATAATGACGGTACTAGTGCTCCTCCCCTCTCGCCCCCCCGTGGGCACCTGTTCCGGAAACGGCATGGCAAATTTACCAACAAGACTAACCCTTCTCTGGAATATTGATAGCATTTCTGCCTCTTCTTCGTCTCTCCTGCATTTTTTCTGCCGTTCTCCTCTCTCTGAATCTCGGTCATGAGTCAGGTGGACAGCAAGACCCACCCCGTTGCGCCGCAGTCTAAGATGCCCGAGGTCTTCGCGCAGCTGGACTCGAAGATAACCCACATGATGAAAGCGGTCAGCGCCGCGCTCGTCAAGGATGACCGCGGCGGGAGCGGCAGCGGGGCGGGAGACTCGGGAGCAGCGAGCGGAGGCGTTGGCGGCGGGGGGAGCGGCGGAGGTGTCGGGGGCTCGGGCGGGGGAGGCGGAGACCCTTCGCCTTCCAAGGATGTGGTACGTCTTGGGTACATTCGCAAGCAGAACGAAGTTGGTTGTGGCGCGAAAGCGAACATGGCAGCAGTGGGCCGCAGTAGACACAGTAAACAGCAGCACGGAGAAGTTCGACAACAATATCATGTAGGTCCTTTTACCTTGTCTTTGCTCCGCGGTGGCTGCTTGGTCCCCGTCTGCATCACGCTCAACTTCCATGGATCGTTTCCGCCTTTGCCACCCACCTCTTCCCTTTATATCTCGGTGTGCCCCTTCACCTCTTTGGGTTGTTGTCGCGCTGCCTGCGGAAGTTCTCTAAGCTGGACAATGCCAGCGTCACAAAGATCCTGTATGCGAACATTATGAGCGCGGAGCCGGACACTTCACCGAGAAACGTGCGGGTGACGCCGACGAAGAGCGGCGACGCGGGTATCGATAAGGTAAGTCGAGAACACGACGACGAGGGTTTCTTTTTCTGGTTCCCGTATATCATGTTTTGGTCAGAAGTTTTCAAGCGTGTCATGAGAACTTCTACGTTTGTGTTTGTATCCGAGACTCCTCCTGTTGATGCTTTGCTGCTTTTGATCATCACGATCCTTACACTTGCACCCGCAGTAGCGCTCGCCTATAACACATGCAGGGTAAAAACGTTAATTTTTCTGGTTTTCACCCTGATCCAAAACAGATGGCCCACCCCTACGCCATTATATGTTCATAATCCATTACCTGCCCGGAGACTGTTATTGCACTTTCTTGTTCTCGTTATTATGACACCCTCGGTGTCATCGGCGAAAACAATGACGCCAACAACAATGCGCCCGCAGAGGATCAAGATGAAGATCCTGCTGGGGCCCGAGTACGTCTCCGACGAGGAGGAGCCCGATTCCGAGGAGGAAAGCGAGGGAGAGCAGGAGGACGCGCGGGACACGTTCGTCGATCGGACAACGGTAAAGCGGACATAATGTTGCTCCTTTTTGCCATGCGTTGGACGGAGGATTGAGAGTCCTTGTACTATGCTCAGCCCTCCAGGATCAAAACGAAATCATGCTTTGCCACGAGTATCAAGCGAAAGCTTGTTTCTTTTGTGCTTCCTGGCGTGAGCACGTTGGTTTGTCCGAAAGGAGAACAGTTTTGGTAGGCTTTGGGCGACACAGGTCTGTGCTTGCAATTACTACCGTTGCTGATTCTTTCATTGTTTGATACTGTCAACAACCTCTCGGTTGTGCAGATTTTGGAGAACCAAAAACGAGGACACGCTTTTGCGGGTTTGGCGATGAACATACGACGATTAACCGGTTCCAACATCGCGAAGCACGTATTTGTGAAGTGAACAAGCGTAGGCCATGAAGCCTTTTGTTTAGACGCTGTTATCGCGCGTTTGCTGCACGAAATTAGGTGAAATCATTGACATTTGTCCATGAGTCGCCCGGTGAAAGAGTTGGTAACTATTTCCAGCTGATCACGCGTCCCCTCTCTGGCCTTCTTCGTTCTGTTTGCTTCAGTTTTTTCCCTTGTCCTCGCCTCCCCTCTCCCTGACTAGCCCCCCCCCGCCTCGTCCACCCTCCCCTTTCCTCCCCGTTCCCTTCTGTTCTCTCCCGCTGTTCCACTATGGCCTCTCTCGTACGCGTCGCGCTTCCCGCTGCAACAGGTGAAGAAGCTGGCGAATCTCGTGCTTGGGAGAGATACGAAGATCAGAGGAACGAGGAGAAGAAGACTCCGCAGGAAGGACGGCTGACACGAAGAACGTGACGATACCCACATAACAGGGACTGGGGGGCGGGCGCCCTTGTGTGCATCCATCTTGTTGATTAAGGCTGCAGCATTGTACCTTAAGGAGTGTGCTGTTCCTCAACGAGTTTTGCCTTTCCTGTAGAACAATATGGTCCACTATTATTGGAGACTACCAATTCCCCTGACGGGCAAGCAGGACATTCCGCTGGAAGGAACCAACGTGCTGGCGCCCAAGGAGTTCATCATGATCGGGTGCGAGCTAGTCATCGTCGCCCTCAGCAGCGCGTTGTTTTCCGCTTGGAATACAGCACGCGCCATCACTCTCGAACCACTCATGAATGCCGAAGGCCTGTGTCTTGTTTCCTCTTCGGGGTAACCCGATATCGACTGTAAAGGTTTGAGTATAGGCTTTTCAACTGAGATTCTGTTCTGATGGTCAAGTACACTATTTATTCAATTTTCTTGAGCCTGAACGTCTCAACTCTCAACTTATTTGATGATGGCGCGATCCTCGGGGTTGGAATTTTGGAAGGGGGTTTGGGGGGAGGCTAAGGTAGTAAAACGTAATAGAAAGTGAGCACCAGCGCTCCTGGTGTGACGGTACGTGTGCACTTCCACTCAATCGTTGTAGCGTAGAACTCGCACAAAAACCTACAAAGGATTCAATGAACAATGTAGAACCACATATAGGCGACAGCCATCCCTGCCCGCACAATAAACGACGCCTTGATTGAAATACGGGTGCCGATGACGAAGAAAATCGATTGCAACAACTTATAGACGAGCGAACCCCGAGGGTGCATAGGCGCACTCTTCACGCTGAGAGTAGGTCCAGTCAAACCCACACTCTCACTTGTAGTACCTAAGGATAGCTGCGAGCAGCAAGCGTTCTGCCTCGCTTGCGTAGCACTTTGGCCGTGCATGGTATGGCCAGTTTCCTCTTCGCTCCCCGCTCAGTTCTCGTCTCAGAATAGTGTTGCCGATTCCGAAAGGAGGTCGAAAGTCCACGAGACAACCGACGTGGCCAAACAAAACATGGCGATGATATGGGTTTGATGTTGCCTGTACTCTCAACACAGAACATCGAATGTCATCTATCGTCATCCAATGAGTACGCAAGTGTCAAGCCGAAGCTTTTCAAGATTTCTCGACAAGACAAACCTGTGAAACTATCTAGGCGCAAAACCGACTAACTTAAGAAACAAATGTACGATAGACAGCAAAAACAAAGACGTTTGCAGGTCTAGTCTGCTACCGTTTGCACCGACACCACCCTTTTGCTAAAGCGTCCTCTGGGCCTCATCGAAACCTGGCTTCGGTTGCGCGAAACTTACGGTCTGTTTCACGCAAGGTACCGCAACCCTTGGTGTTGCTTGGCGTACGCAATGAAAAGCGAACCAGCTGAATACTTCTCACGACAGGCGGACGGTGTGGTCCTACACTACACAGCGAACTCCTCCCGCGAGAGCTTCTTTCGTTTGGCAATACTATAACTTGGCGCCGCTCAGCAAGAAAACACGGCGGGCCGGCAAGGTCGCAAAAAATCATCCAACTCCGAAAGCCCTCCTGAACCCCCTGCTATTAGTCTTGCCGGTGTTTTGCTTGGCACAGTGTAGGAAGCCGTCGTACATGTCTTCGTCTAGCCGCTGGAAGGCCCGCACCGGACGGCGCGTGTTACGCGCGGTGGCGGTTGAAGAGTCGCCTTCGTGATGACTGCTCCCTTGACTAAGAGTAGATGATCGGGAGGCGGATAAGTTGGCGACACAGGCCTTCTTGGGAGAAGCGTGGTGCTTTTGAGCGGTAAGAGTGTGTTTCTCGGCAACCTCCGCCTGGTGCTTGTACATCGGGTTGCTCCCAATGAAACTTTCGCTGGCGTCTTGGTCTTCTTCGCCTGAGCCAGCCCATTGCGTTTGCTCGATGCCCCACCTGCCGTGGAGAACGATTGCCAGCGGTTGTTCAGCAATGGGCAATAGCAGAAAAGCGCGTGCTACGTTCAGAGACACCTCAATCCACTCGGTGGCCAAGCCCTTTCAAATGCCCGCCGATAACAGCTGACGTCGAAAACCGATTACCGCAAGCCTCGACCATCTTATCTCTGGCACTTAATTAATTCATCTCTCTACTCGCCTTTCCCCGTCAGTTGGGAGCTTGACTTACGCCTAGTACCATTGCTTGTTAACCCACACAATTGCCTTCGCAACAGACCCAACAGAGCAGTAACCAATGACCCCGCATGTACACTCACGTATTTCTTCGGTCTCTCGGTTTTCGAGCTGTTGATGATGGGACCCGAAACATGCCACTGTCTCCGTGATTCGGCGACATTTGCTGCGGTTGCTGGGTGATCTTCATCATCTGTCTTACTCTCCTTGCCCCTCCGCCTCCCCTTCCTTCTGCTCCAGATGTGATCCTTCCCTCCATTCCCTCTCCTCTTTTTCCACTTGACCCCCGAAACCTTGGACTTTCTTCGGCGTCGAACCAGCCAAAGCTATCACCCCGAGCTCTGTCTCTCTGTCGATGCCGCTGCTTCGCCTCCGCAGTCAATTCCCAGCCGCCTGTAGACGGGGTTAAGCTCTCCGTCCCGCAGGTTTGCGGCCCTTTTCTGCTACTCGCCGGAGACTTCCAGCACGACACTGCCCCAGGCGTAGACGCCTCCACCCTCAGCAACACCTTGTCCACCTCATCCGCGGTCAGCCCCGCCAGCCCGTTCCGGACGGACGGACGGTCAAAGCAAGCGGCCTTGGGCGCAACAGCTATTCTTCGTTGTTCAAACGCAGGGGAGGGAGGCACCGGAGACAGCGAGCGCTTCTCGATCGTTCCTGCAAGCGTCGCTAGCAACAGCTTTGCGACGCGGTCACTCCTAACGATCTTGGTTCCGTTGTCGTCGGTACTTTCCCCCCCTTGTACGCCCGCGGGCGTCCTAGGCTCACCATCAACCCCACCACCACCGCCGTCATGACCCGGGTGTCGCCCCAGGCCACCACGGGCGGGGTTCGACGGTGATGCTAGTTGTGCGCCTGCCTCCTTTCTTCTGGGCGTGCTGCAGGGCCTCCGTTTGATTTCCAGCTTTGGGTGGCTGGGGTCTGCTCGCTCCACGGGGCTGATTCTCGAGAACGCCGAGACCGGTCCGTCAGAGGGGACTACACGCACGGTTCCGTCGCCACCACGACCCCCGGCCATCTCTGTCGTCCTGCCGCCTACCTCGACCGGGAAGATGGCCATTCCCCTGTCACCGTCGCCACATCTGCTCCTTGTTCCTCCCGTTCTGACGCTACCGAGGGACGCCCACAGGGAACCACTGCCGGTACTTGCGTCAAGAGACACGTGCGGGGGATGCTCGCAGCCGCCATCAGCATCAGGTCCCGCCGACAACGGCAAGCTCTTCGCATTGACTGCGGCCGAATGCGAAATCAGAGACTCGGCTTCTCTTTGCATGCGTGCGAGCTCCTGGTTGTAGAGCTGCACGCGGGAGCGCACGCTCGCGGTGTCCCTCGAAAGGATCCGCAGGTAGCGGTCGCAGGCCGAGGATACCGCCGCCGCTCGCCCCCTCTCTTCCTCCGAGGCCAACGCGCCGCCGGCAGACGACAGCGACGGCGGCGACGGAGCCGGTGCCCCGTGTTTGATTGGGCTCCCTCCCCGCGAGCCCTTGCTTCTTTCCTCGAACGTGTTCCTGATCGACAAGAATGATGACACTACTGCCGCCTCGTCGCCTCCTTGGGGCACGATCGACTGCGGGCGGGAGGGTGGCGACAGCACCGGCGACGGAAGTACCTGGACGTCGAGCTTCGACAAAAATCGGCGGAGAACGTCCTGGCTCAAAGATAGTTGTGCGCCCACGTCGTCGCTCGTGAGCGTTTCGTCATCTTCGCTGGGCTGGGTCTCCGCGAGACTCGCTTGGATGCTGTCATCGAGTAGCTTCCAGACATCTTGCCCAGCTGACCTGATGAAGGGGGTTAATCGGAAACCAGAAAAGTGAGGGCAAGCAGGCCGAGCGCCATGTTGTCTCGCGGTTGAAAGGGGTGAGATGCTCCAAGGGATGTGGACTGAAAGAGGGAAGCCGGTTGTCTTACTCTTATGAGTATTGCGGGCAGAGGGAATACCTCAAAAAATCATGGGTATTCGAGGAGTTGCCATGTCGGATCCCTGAATTGAGCGCTTCGGCAAGCAAAGTTCACCTCTACTCTTGTCCAATACAAGGGAATGAGGACCTGGTGGAACACTTGGAACATGCTCGATGCAACGATTGAGCGCGATTGTTTTTCCAAACAACCTTCACAGCCGCCCGAACCATGAAGGGAAGCCCTTCCTCAGCCTTCGTCCTGTGGACTGTTTAGCCGATATTCGCGGAATAACACAATTTCCAGAGCAATCGGCGTCTGCAAGGAAACTTCGCTACAAAATACACGCGCAAATCTGGAGAAGTGAAACTCACCTAGCTTGGGAAGCCGCCTTTCGCAGGGTTACGTGTAAGGTTTCCTGGGCAGCAGTGCCGCTCCCCACACCCTTCGCTCTTCGTGCGCACGACCTACTTTCGTCCCTAGCCGTGTCGTCAAATTCAGCTACCTGGATCGGGTAATTCCCGAGGAATCGCGGTGGAATCGTCCAAACAAGTGGTATGAGGTAAGGAAACACACAACTTCTGCCAAATATTGATGTTTTGTGCCACACATTGCGGGACGTGTGGGATACGGACACCCCCCCGGCTAAGCAGCCTTCTTATGGGGAGGGCCGAGGAAGCACTACGCAGTACCTTGGACGTGAGTGCACCCCATCACGTGCCTCCTAAAGTTGTCGATGCTCACCACCCCAATTCACCGGCGTTGCCTCGAGTTCGCCCTTCACCCTGTCGAGCCCGACGCGGAACTCACATGACATGCTTCGCCACCACCATCAAGACCGCTGGGGCCTTGTACGGTATCTTCCGCCGCACTGTCGACCACGTTTTTTCCCCTTTCTCTGCGGCGCGGTGAATACTCCGGATGGAGGGGCACGGAGCCGGATTCCGCAACGACTTTGAAAGACTCGAGGGTGACGATACCTGGGGTGTCCCCCTCGCCGATGTCCTGGGCAAGAGCAAGGTACTCCTCCTTGGAGAAGTTGCCGCTCCATCCCATGCTCAGCGTACTCAGCCGCCTAGCGAACTTTGGCCGAGTGTTGGTATCAAAACCATCGAAGTTTTGTGCGACCCAAGGACGGCGTGGTGTTAGGACGAACCACCCAAGATACGAAGGATGTGTATCGGGGAAGTGCAGAATGTTCTAAAGAGGCATGCATGCGATTATCTCCATTCGCTCATGTGGAAAGTGCGGGGCATGGGCAGCATAAAGGGGTTGTGCAGATCCCCAACTTCGATAACAGGACTTCCGATGCAAATCATGTACGAAGTTCAACATTCAGGGGTGCCTGAAACTCGCCCCCGTGTCAAGACCACTGTACGTACCTCCCGGGTGGTCAGCGAGGTTTTGCCACGCCCAGAAAACGCCGTGAAGCAGCGTTCGATGGCGATGTTCGGATCTTGATGTCTCTTGAGGCTTCTTCTCTGAGTTACGTGGCGAAATAACAAGCGACGAGAAAAATATCCACTGGAATCTTACACGAAATGAAGGTTGTACAAGTAGTCTATGGGTTCGTTGCTGGAGTGAGAGTGAAATGCATGTCGGTGTAGTCACGATTGATTGGTGGAACCTAATGACAACCACGAGTTTTGTTCACTAGTCTACTTCGGTATGCGCTAGGCTTTTTTGACTAGATTCAGAGCACTTGCCGTTCGCGTGTGACCAACTGACTACAATGCCCTACCATAAATAGGAAGATGACTGTCGTACGCCCTATTGCAGTGCATGCTATTGAACGGTCGGCAGACGATAGCGATCATACTCGGTATCCGGATGTCACGTGGTTCAGGCTTTACGGTCTACCAGTTACTGCCGCCTAGTCTACGTTTTGTCGGACAGTTTGTGGCCCGTAGTGGCGGCTGCGAGCAGGGAACATTTTCAAATGCACATGTTACAGTTGTACAACTTGCCTTTACCCCCTCCATCATTGAGTCGAACGCTTTTCCAATACGCGTGGTGTCCGGACGGATCATGCTCTTGATATCCCAAGTATCCATCCGGCACAGCTCAGCCAGATCTTTCTCGCTCACTGCCATTGTTGCTGTGGTGTCCTCGTCTTGATCTCCGGTTTTCTGCTCGCCATCGGTGCCACTGCTGATGTTCCTCTCGCTAATTTCTAGAGGTCGGCGTCTGCTCATGGTAGAGACCGGCGAAACGAATGGTGGTCGCAAACAGGTTTTCGAGGCGCCTTGTCACACCAGCGTTTTGACTACGGTGGAAGTGTGCAACACGTGTTTGGTGTGCACCACCGTACACAGCCTCGCTTCCTTCGGCTGACGCCTGAGGACGAGCGAGTCCAGCACGAAAAGCAAACTCGCCGTTCGGATGGGCTTTTCCTGCAGCAGCAACAACAATATGCGCACGATATGCGATGCTGCCAGCTGCAGCATCCATATCATGAGAGGGGACGGTTTCGGTAAAAAAAAAAAATGAGGGTCCCGGCGAATCGAAGGAAAGGGGTAACGTAAGGGCACACACAACCACTTTTCATTTGATTTCTCGTGACAAACGGTGACATTCAACGCCTGTGCAGTGCTGGATCAACGTCAGGCTCGAGGTAGGTCGAGTACATGGGGTAGGTTACTCTTTGCCAGGAGAGGAACCTTCAAGACGACTGCACCATCCTTCGTTCCAAGAAGGATAGTGATGAGAGTGACCCTTTACTCAGCCACGTATGCTACAAGCAGTATCTGCAGCAGTAGCGAAAGTGGGACGGGCGAACCTTGCTTCGCTTGTTAGCAGACACGCAGTCAACGCCTGGCATTTTCTCGCTGGGAAAACTGCTCACGACTCTGTAGAGGGTGAGCCGACACAAGGTTCATGGGCAGTGCAGAGCGTGGGGGGCACATCTCTCTCGATTGAAATGACTTGAAGAGCGTGTTGCACACAGCCCTCTTCCGCCTCCTCGGTAGTTGAACATGCGGAACAACACGGCGGTGCGGGTGCTTTCCCGCCAGCCGAACCAGAGAGCACCGACGCTAAAACCACGGTAAGGAACCACGGTAGCCAAGGCTTGTACTGGTGTCGGCGTGTATGAACGGCTGCTGCCCTGTACGCGCTGCACACTGTGCTGGTGAATGCTTGCTGAGTCCGAAAATGCGGCTCTCTCTTGGCCTGTTGGCTATATAGCAGTCTAGACTATGCAACAACCAGGACGAATCTCTTGTACGGAATCCCCTCCCGTCAAACTCAACGTCTTCTTCTCCAAGCAGAAAGAAAAGACACACGGCGACAGGGCGCAAGTTTACCGAGTCGGATGCTCTGACGTTGTGTGTTATGCCGGTGTTGGAAGGTTCGAGGCCTCCAGCTAGGGTTATGATGCTTGCGTCGTCCGAGTGTGCGCCTCTGTTGAGTGGAGGGAGCAGCAAATGGTGTTCCGCCCCCTGCGTAGTGTGCGACTCTCGCCTCCAACGGGTATAGAATGTCTTTTCACCCTCGTTCCCCCGTGCAAAAGCTTTGTTTCCCGACCAGACCCTGCGCACGCCGGCTCGTTGCTGCTCAACAGCTCGCCCAAGGCATAGCAGAGGTTCAACTAGCCGTCGTTGTTTTGTTGAACGACGTCAGCCTTGCTATGCAGGCTGGATTTGTACGCCCTCAAGTGCGTGCGTGGATGACAGGTAGATGTGGCTCACTCCCCCTTGCATGGTGACCTCTTGCGCCCCAAGAACGAGAAAAGGGAGCATGGCGATGCCTAAAGCCAGCACGTGGCTTGTCTTGTCCTACGACGAATCCTGTCTATTTCATGGCTCGTGGATAGTGTGGCAGGCAGGCCACCTGCACCAAGAGACGTCCCAAGGGTCCCGCCTAGTTGTATGCAGACACGGCCGTGGGGTGTGGAGTACCGTGAGGTGTGGAGTACCGTGGTAGCGTCCTTCGTGACTGCTTTGTTGGTGTGGTTCTAGGCTGAAGTGTCAAAAGTACCGCTGACCAGTGGGGATTAAAACGAGCTATGCTTTCAAGGTTTCAAGGTTCCATCTGGTCTATAGTGTCTCCCTTGCACTATACGGTACCGCCGCACATGTAGCTTCCCCGTAGGCGTCGCAACCTGCCCGACTGCCGCCCACAGCTCTCTCTCTCTCTCTCCCGTGCTACCACACTCCGACACGCGAAGCCCTTTTTGTTCGTGTTTCGGCTCACGAAAAACGGTCAACGCAGAAGTTGGACGACCGTCATCGCCACCACGAGGGTGGACGTTACCAAGCAACTACAGTACCTCCGCGTCCGTACCCCCCCTTGTCCGTCCCTATCCGTGCGGTGCTGGCAGTCTCAGCAAGCAACACCTATCAAAGAAGGAAAGAAGGAAGACCCACATCCCACCGATCTGCGAGATGGATGTCCGGTCTCGAGAGCTTTCGAGATAGTCGCTCCGCCGAGGCTTCAGCTCCCCTGCCACTCGCGACGGCGGCGGAGGCGGCGGCGGCGGCGGTGCGACGGCAAGCCGGAGACTTCTCCTGTGGCGCTGATGCAACAGCAGCAGCAGCAGGGGTCCCGCAAGATGCATGGCCGGCGACCAGCCACAGCGGCGGGCAGGACGTCGTGTTCCCTCTCGTCCTCGCTCTTTACGCCCAGCAGCAGCGGTGCCGGCGACAGCGGCAGGAGGATATGGAAGCCCTGTCGAAGACGGGGGCAACGACTACGGGGGGGGGGTCAGCGGCCACCGGCGTTGGCGGCAGCGGCACCCCAGGGAGTAGCGGTTTGGTGGTTGTAGATATCGTCGGCGGTGGGGAGGAGGATGACGATGGGGGTCGTGATGATCGGGGGGACGACGGAGGGTTTTCTGCCAGGGGGGTGGCTGCCGCGGCGGCCGACGGGGTCGCTGCCGTGTGCGGGGACTGGGAAGGGGAGGCGATGGCCTTGGTGAGGGAGCTGCGGGAGGCTCGACGGGCTTTCCCTTCGGAGGTGAGACTTTCTTTCTTTTCTCCGCTCTGCAGAGTAACTGCTCTGTGTAAGAGAATATCTCTGTTAGAGGATTCCACTCCCCTGTTCGGAAGTATAGGGACCATTGAGACAATAACAATAGTATCCGAATGATCCTTAAATTGCCGAACAGGTGGTACCTGTTTCGGTAAGAGCGACCTTGTGCTGACGTGTTGTTGTTGTTGTTGTTGTTTTCCTACGACTGCTGTGGTCGTGAAAGAGTGTTGAGTGAAGGACCCGTGCGAATCAAGCGCCCTCAACCGCGATCTGATACACCGGGGCACGGGACCAATCGTCCGGCTGGAGAGAGGTGGAACGTGTTTTCTTGCGTTCGCGCGTGACTGTTGCCACACGCTGTCAAGGATCAGTTCTCGCTTTACCTCCCCGGCTTGCTGCGTTGAACGAACATGGGACGGCATTTACCCACGCGGGGTACAACAGAGCCGTGGTGAACATTTGGTGCTACAAACGGCATGGCATGCATGATCTGGTCTCCGGGCTTTTGTTGCTGCCGTCACTCTTGGGGGACTTTCCGTACCGTAGAGCTTTACATGGAAAGCCCTGGTCGTCCCGCATACCGCATATGGGTCTGTCTGAATTTTCCGTGGACCTTCGCCTTTGGGAGCTCTGGTCGTCATACATTCCACATCACGACGCCTTGGTGTCACGTCATATACGCGCCCAAGCTCTTGCTCGCTCGCTCTTCCGCCGACAAGAAAACTAGCGCAGACAGCAAACCCATCAACACCTGTGTTTTCGCTCCCTCCCCCTCCGGTCGGTGTCCTCCCCTCCTCTCTCTGAAAAAGGTGGAGTTTTATCTGCCCCAGCTCTGCATCGTCGTCGCCCTCGGAGACTTCGTGCGGCCCGCCCCCCTTGTGGGCTTCCTGCTGGAGCTGTGTGAGTCGGACCTCCGCCTCGCTCACAAGACGCACTGGTTCCTTAAGTCCTTCTGCGCCGACGGCGGTGGCTCGGTACGTTAGCACACCTCTGCTGCGCGCTATGGTGGTAACTGCTGTGTCGTTGGCTTTACTTTGTGCGATGTAAATTGCGTACGAAGGCGGCGACTCGGTACGAAAGGATGG